TTTTGCATCTTCAAGAGCCCCTCAGCGCCCTCCCGCTTCTCCTAAAACACCTCACAGAAGGGGCCCACGCGCTCCAGAGCCACTTTATCAAGGTGGAAATAGAAGCCCAAAGAGAGGTAGGTGCAGGAGGAGGCCTGCAGACACATGTTGACCAGGCGGTTGGCAGCAGCCTCCCCCTCAGTGGAATAATTCTGAGTTGCTCAGCAAGAAGGAAATAAGCTCAAAAACCGGTGTTGGCTGGTCCCAGAGGCAGATGATGGCTGAGATAATGATTCCAAAGGATGTGACTGGGAAAGAGTTTGGAGGGTGGCCCGAGGCTGGAAGAAGGGATGTCCTGGGTCTGTTCTGTCCAAACATTGTTGATAATGAATATAACACACACAATATGTGCTGACCCATTGCTAGTGTCTGCTTATTCTTTTTCCAGAGCAACCCCTATGTATCCCTTTTGTAACAGTCCTTACACTTGTAATTATTTGTTCATTGTCTTTCCCATGAACTGTAAATCCAGGAGGGCAGTCTTTTTTGTTCATCACTGAATCTCCAGTGTTTATCTCAGTGCCTACCATGTAATAGGTGCTCAATAAACGTTTGTTGAATGAACTGATGCATTCTTAACCTTAGATTCACATTTCTAAGCTTAATCAACTTAATTTGTAAATGTAGAAGTCTGTGCTTCCTAGCAGCTCCTGCCTTCTGGGAAGTATTATCTCCAAGCATACAGAATAATTGGATTCTTCTGGTTAAAATTATGTTGGGTAGACTTACTTCACATATATATAGCTACCTTCAGGGTAAATCTTTACATGTCTCAAGTGGAAGGTGAGGATATGGATTACCCTAGGTTAATCTAACTTTTTTTTTAAACGGAATCACCCAATGCAAACCATCATTCAGTCCATTCCCTCAAATATTTATTGAGCTACTACTATGTATCAGGCCTTATAGGCGGAATATTGTATTAGTTTCCTAGAGCTGCTCTCATAATGACACACACAACAGAAATCTATTCTCTCACAGTTATGGAGGTCGGAAGCTTACCCCCTCCTAAGGCTCTAGGAGAGAATCCTTCCTTGCCTCTTCTAGGTCCCAGTGGCTCCAGGCATTCCTTGCCTTGTGGCTGCTTAACTCCACAGTCTCTGCCTCTGTCTTCACATGAACTTCTCTTCTTTGTCTTCTCTTTTGTTTCCTTGTCATTGGATTTGGGTCCACGAAGCTAACACAGGATGACTGATATCCTTAACATACTTGCACCTACAAATTCTCTCTCTTTCTCTCTCTCTCTCTTTCTCTTTTTCTGTTTATTGAGCACCTATTACCTGATAGGCACTGAGATAAACACTGGAGATTCAGTGACGAACAAAAAAGACTGGGGGCGCCTGGGTGGCTCAGTTGGTTGAGCGACTGCCTTTGGCTCAGGTCATGATCCTGGAGTCCCGGGATCGAGTCCCACATCAGGCTCCCTGCTTGGCGGGGAGTCTGCTTCTCCCTCTGACCCTCTCCACTCTCATGTGCTCTCTATCATTCTCTCTCTCTCAAATAATAAATAAAATCTTTAAAAAAAAAAAAAAAAAAGACGAAAACTTTAGTGAGATCTCCCTAGTCCAGCCTCAGGAGGTCCCCTCTCAAGGCTTTTCTGTGCTACTCTCTTAAGAACTCCTGTCATGTTGGGGCGCCTGGGTGGCTCAGTTGGTTAAGCGACTGCCTTCGGCTCAGGTCATGATCCTGGAGTCCCGGGATCGAGTCCCGCATCGGGCTCCCTGCTCAGCGGGGGGTCTGCTTCTCCCTCTGACCCTCCTCCCTCTCGTGCTCTCTGTCTCTCATTCTCTCTCGCAAATAGATAAAAATCTTAAAAAAAAAAAAAAAAAAAAAAAGACTGCCCTCCTGGATTTACAGTTCATGGGAAAGACAATGAACAAATAATTGCAAGTGTAAGGACTGTTACAAAGGTATTGGTAGAGGTAGTATACAGGGGTCTGTGGGAACATGAGTCTGGGGACCTAATCAAATCTAGACAGTCAGAGAAAAGCTTCCCAAACGATGCGATGTTCATGTAGGAGGAGTGACTAGGAGTTGACCATGAAAGAGAGTGTGGCACTCTCTTTCAAGCAACTGGACGAAATTCAGCATAGTTAGGGAATGATGAGGTATTAATGTGGAGATACATAATTGGAGCCATTTGTAGAGAGCCTTGTGAACAAAGTTAAGGATTATAGCCTTCATCCTGAGATAGTCAGCGCTTGTAATTGGCCAACACTAATATGATAAGAAGGCAGAAATTATCCCCATTAAGGACCAAGAACAGCAGCACAGATCATGAGTGTCCCTCTTATTTTCGTACAACAAATCTTGTTCTTCGCAAAATTTGTAGCCTTTATGGATATCGCAGTATTATGGAAAAGCTTGCCAAACTTTCTCTGCGTGTTGCACATGAAATATAATTTCATAAAAATACCTAAATTAGGGAAGCATTAAGTGTATTTTTTTTCCATTTGTATGTATGTCTCCATTCAAAAGACCCAATTACATAATCTTCTCCTCCATCTGAACTTTGAATATATGGTCCCAATAAATTATTTGCTATCTGTTTATTGTGAAAATATAGGCTCCAGTTTTAAAACTCTTGAACTATAGGGGCGCCTGGGTGGCTCAGTCGTTAAGCGTCTGCCTTCGGCTCAGGTCATGATCCCAGGGTCCTGGGATCGAGCCCCGTGTCGGGCTCCCTGCTCAGTGGGGAGCCTGCTTCTCCCTCTCCCACTCCCCCTGCTTGTGTTCCCTCTCTCGCTGTGTCTCTCTCTGTCAAATAAATAAATAAAATCTTAAAAAAAAAAAGATTTTATTTATTGAGGCGCCTGGGTGGCTCAGTCGTTAAGCGTCTGTCTTCGGCTCAGGTCATGATCCCGGAGTCCTGGGATCGAGCCCTGCATCGGGCTCCCTGCTGGGCGGGAAGCCTGCTTCTTCCTCTCCCACTCCCCCTGCCTGTGTTCCCTCTCTCGCTGTGTCTCTCTCTGTCAAATAAATAAATAAAATCTTAAAAAAAAAAAAAAAAAAACTCTTGAACTCTATTATATATTTTACAAATACAGCAGTTTTGCTAAGTCAATGTTTTCTTTTTAAATGCCATCTTCTTTATCTTCAAAAAGTTAATGTTGTTTTCTGTAACATCTATTCCTTATAATTTGTTATTCAATGATTTTCAGTGTGAAAATGTGACATTTTAGAGCACACATTAATTTTTGCAATATCAATGCTATTGCAGATTAGGAAATTCATTGAGGACCTAGTAAAAAATCTTCAGCACATTATTTATTGGATAAGATGCAACTCTTTAACTTGTATCTGCACAGGTTATGAGCTAAAAGAAATAGATGCCTGAATATATCTTAATTAAATCATAGTGAGTAAAATCTAATTCCAAGGTTTAATAAACTTTTTACTGACAACTGAACATAAATGATTTTTTATTTTATTTACAGTTAGATTTCTCAAAAAGCCTCTTAAATGCTGTGATTGGTTTCTTACTCAACAATAGCTTTTAATGTTCAGATATTTTCTAGTAGATAGGTCATTTTTATTGAAGAAGTTTATTACTCTGCATATAAATTTGCACATAATATACTGCATACTTCATTCCCAGAAAAAGACCTACTTCTGTGAATGTCTTAAAGCACCCAAGTTTAATAAATTATTATGTTAGAGTATTAAATGTTTTTCAGTTATATTCTTTCTTTGGTTCAGTTTTCTGTATATGAATAATTTGATTAATAAATTTTTATAGTGGGCGCCTGGGTGGCTCAGTTGGTTAAGCGACTGCCTTCGGCTCAGGTCATGATCCCGGAGTCCCTGGATCGAGTCCCGCATCGGGCTCCCTGCTCGGCGGGGAGTCTGCTTCTCCCTCTGACCCTCCCCCACTCATGTTCTCGCTCTCTCTCTCTCTCTCATTCTTGCTCTCTCAAAATAAATAAATAAATCTTTAAAATAAATAAATAAATTTTTATAGTACTCAAAATAAAAATCAAGCTTTATTCTAGTTAAAGTATTTTTAGGGACTGATTGACTCAATATTTTAGAATACTGATAATTAACTGAATTATTACTTAAAGGTATAACCTAAGGAGAAATGAAACATAAATCTGAAGATTGAATTCTGATGATTGTTGTATGTGAGGTTGGGCAAGTTCTGTACCCTCTCTGGGCTTCAGTTTTCTTGCCTCTGTTCCTAAGCAATTGTTCATATCCCATTCAATAAAAAACATATCTGATTAAAACTTCAATAATACACAAAATAAGAAGTGCTAATGAATTAATTGAACTAATATATTTTCAAAGATTCCTGGGAAGTAGTGAAACATGTATCCAATACAGTTTTAGATACAGTTTTGTCAGTGAGAGAAATAATATGTTGTTACCATATGTTATCTAGTCTTATCTTCGAAAAAAGGAAGATTTCAAATGTAATTTTTTAAATTACTGCTAGACATCTAAGAACTTACTATGTACACCCTTGTGCTGTAGAGTGCGAATTCTTAACTTTAGTATTTGAATTACGCTCCATGAAATATAAAAAAGCTCATTCTTCAGCGAATTATGCAGTAGTCTTTCCACTTTGTGGAAATAGACACCAAAACAGTGGGTAAAGCCTAGTCTGTTGTTTAATTAAAGTGTTTAAGGAAATAAGTTAGCAATTATATAAACAAAATCCTTTAAGTCCATCTGCTGATTTAAATTTGCAACAAATACTTAATCCTAGAATGTGGGATACTAAGAATCCATCTACTCTATTGGTATTTTTGTGAAAAAGAATAAAGGGTGATGTTGCAGGTTATGACCTCAAACTTCAGCCCTTATTTTACGTTTGCATCCTGTGTGCCAGATAAAGGCAAATACGGTAGGGATTTTTGGTGCCCATTACCATATTTTCAAGCACATACTAAGTTGTAAAATAGTTTTGGTAGTGAAATGTCACCCAGGGAAATTTTAATATTGTATTTGTGTTTCAGCTTCTGACATGGCGGCCGAACAGGGACAGATTCTCGTGATAGCCACCGCGGCTGTTGGGGGATTTACTCTCCTCGTCATTCTTACTTTGTTCTTCTTAATCACTGGGAGGTAACTACAGCATACCAGATTATTACCAAGACTTGTGAATAACCATTCTCTTATATACTTTGTATTCACATGCTTTTCAACTTAACAAACCATGTTTGAGAGAAAAAGGGATCAGGACAGATTCTGCTCTGACTGAAATTTGTATGATAACAGAACCACCTGGCTAGTTCTCTGTATCAATAGGCTTCTGAACCTGAAAGCGACTAGGGACTTGATAAAAACACTTTGAAAGCTATGAATGATAAATTCTTACTCGATAAATTACTTCTGAGTTTTTCCTTTGTTACATTCAAATTATCCCATGAAAGGGATTTTTCCTAGGGAAAAAAATAATTCAACAGAGAATTTATATAAAAGCTCTTTATAAACTTAGTATTATAGAATGTATTATATTTATTCATTAAATAGTGAATGGATCTATATTAGAATTATATTAATTGGTTTTATAAACCCGGTATTTCTCCACTTTAGTGTAATAAGGATGAAAATTCAGAGTAACAATAAATTTAACATAGCAAAAGACCTAGATTGGAATCCTGACTAGCTGGTCAAATTGCTTCACCCATCTAAAACTTATATTTCTATTTTTGTACATATGGTATAACAGTGAATTAAAACCATTTATTGATTTTTAGATATATTGGTTTGTTACCATGTGCCAGGTACTGACAATACAGAGATGTGAGTAAAGGTAATATGTATGAAATCACATAAAAGAACAAGTAGTATTTCTTATGTAAGCCTTGATATTAGGCCTCGACTCTTTGTCAGATATTGTCAATATATTAGATCATATTTTTATTCCTACAAGGGGAAAAATAATTCCTTCTAGATTATCAGTAGGGGCACAAAAGAATACCTCAAGAGTTTTCTTGATAATCTGAAAAACACATATACTGCAAAAAACCAATGTCATGATTTAAAAGAGCAATTAAATGCCAGCCAAAAACTATGCATCCATGATGACACCAGCCAGAGTATGCCATCTCAACTGGAAAATGTTGATATTTGATAATGAGCAGAAATAACAAAGAGCTACCTTCAGGGGCAATAGTTCAGTGAACTATAAACACCCTCTGTTTTGTTCATTTTAAAACTTGACTTACATATTAATATTTTATTAAAATTAATTTTAAAGTTATAGAGGATATGCATGCATGGAAAATTATTGTCTACAATTTTAGAGCAGGCTAAAGGTACAGATCAATAAATTCACAAGTACTTAGAAGGCACTTGTCAAAGGTGGGTCCCTGCCTGACTGTAACTGCCACCTGTTGAAGGTGTCAGATGTAGTTGTAACAAACCCACTTTTACAGAACTTATCAAGGAACAGAGAAACACATGAATATCGTAATGTGGTTGAGTTGAAATGGTGACTTCTTTATGAAATTAATTGTAAAAGGGACACATTTACCCGTGTGTACTTAAAATTTTTTGGTATTAATAGACCTAGTACTGCTCTTGTAATAAATAGAGAGTATCTCAGAGTCTCCTGTGTTGGGAGGCTAATTAGCTGATAGAAAAGTCATAGCTATAGTAATAAGAAAAAAGAAAAATATCTAATGGAAGAATACGGGGAATACTGATAAATTAATCCTACTAGAAAGGACTAGTTTGGGCATGTCCTGGTGCCACCACCAGATACCATTGCCCAGCACTCTCCTATTTCTCTCTCCCTTTATACCTCATGCTAACCTCTGACAGTTCTTGCCATCATCACAGCTTTGGTACAACCATCTTTTATAGTGGGCAGGAAAACAGATTTTGGATTCTCTAAACCAACTAACCATTTGGTTGAAAACAAAATATTCAATAAAACACCCTACAAATACCAAACATGACCTACAAAATCCTTAATCACTAGCAGAGGAGAACTGGTTCTAACAACAACAACAACAACAGAAACAACCAAACAAAACCCTGTGTATCCTGGTGGAGGTCTAAGCTAGTTTGCAAAACAAAACAAAACAAAAAGACAAAAATAACAGGTTAGAGTTCTTCTGATCCTATCTAGGATTGTCTTGCAAGAAGAGGGATTAAATACAATCTTGGTGCATGGAAAGTCACAATGACAATTAGGTTAAAAAAATAAACCTCTAGCCTTTAGGCTAAATCAGCTTGCCCTCATAACTTCAGAGATGTGCTCAAATGTTATCTTTATTTGGGATTTCTGAAGCAGAATTTAATACCACTTAAAAAAATAATTCAATGATAAAGAAAAATTTGTACTAAATTATTTTCAGCTTTTACTTTCCATGTTTGCTAATTTATATGACATTAGAAATTAATATTCTATATCCTGGAGAATACAATTTCAATTATACAGGATAAAAAAATAAATTTTGAAGTATCCCTTAAGCAGTTTGAAAGGGGAGTATTCTTTGGAAATTATTCTATAAAAACTGTAAGACATTTCTGAATAAATACTCAATTTTCCATAGGATTTGAGGATAAGTTCACATTGAAAGATTGGATTGTATACCACAGATGTATACTGTTTAACCATTTGGAATTAGAAATTTGATGAACTGTCAAATCATATGGATGCTGATGAATTTATTCACGTTGAAGAAGTCATGCAAGATAAGCATCTCCTCTTTCTTAGAGCACCATCATCCCAAGAGAGAACAGAACATACCTCTACCAAATTTCTGACATTAAAAAAGAAATCATGCTCTTTAGCAATGAAACTAGAAGACAGTTGTCTAAATGCCTGAAATTTTTGACTCAAAAACATGTTCTCATTTTGAGTTTTAATGCCTTTTACCAACTCACAGCTATTAGAAGTTATATAAGGAAGGACATGACGGTTATTTCTGATTATAGAATATTCACTAAGATTCCTATCATTTGAATCAATCAGTCCACTTGAGAGTATTTTATTCTTATCTAGGGTTAATTTTGTTGTATACAAAAAACCTTGTATGGAGTAAAATTTTCACATGTTATATAAGGATTTTCTTAAAACATGGCCTTTATGTTAAGAACTTTGCCTATGGGTGATAGGTATTTTAGTTGGTTTTGATTCTCATTCAGTTCTAAAAATAAGATTCTATTTACCCTTTTGAAAGGTGCCAATGGTACATAAAGGCCAAAATGAAGTCAGAAGAGAAGAGAAGAAACCACTTACAGCAGAATGGGCATTGTAAGTACCGTGACTCTTCCATTGCTTTACATTGTTCCAGCCCTCAAGAATTCATTTTAAACTTGCATCCACTGAGTTGAAAAAAACTGAAAAAGTGTACTTCCAACCTTTCAGCATTAAGAGTTTTCATCTGGTTTCCAGGTTTGTTTGTTGAAATTGCACCTGCTTCTCATTAAATGAAAGTACTTTTTCACTAATTCTGCTTGCTGGAAAACATGAAGACTGAATACGCTAAAAATACAAGATGACTGCTTGTTTCTAGTTATTTACCATTCACAGTGGCTCCTGAATGTGAGTTGGCTTTATTTAGTAGAGCATTAGCCAAAGAAATATTAAGGAATTTTTATTCCTTCTTGTAGGGACTGTCATTTAAACATATAACAAATCAATTTACAATTCATTAACACTAAAAAAGAAAATCAGCTCTTTAACTTTTAGAATATGTATGAAATCCTTGAGCTGACTACAAGGTTATATTAATTTGTAGAATCTCTTCCCAAGTAAGCTATAATTACCACTACAGTTGCTTTGATAATCGCCACCCTTTCTTCCCCAACACCCACCTCCACCTCCACTTCCACCTCCACCTCCAAATGGCAGACTACTTTGTCAAGACAGTTTCTCTGTTGTGAGACTCTGAATTAACAAGAAAGGGGAGTTCTCTGATTAACCGCAGTGTAGAGATAATGTGTGAGGCACGTTATTTAACTCTATAAACTCATCTTTACTTCAGATTGAGCAAAAGGAATAAGGGACTTTCAATCTATAACATTCTCTGAAGGGGGCAGAAAGGATTGAAGTGAGGATGTTATAAACTAGAGGGATGGTTTAGGGCTATTTCTAGGCTCACAAGATTCTTCAGTGGTCTACGGACTATCTGCATTAGAATATTCCATCCTCACTCACCAAAGTTCTGACCAGAAAGTCCATGGTAGGGCCAAGACATATGCATTTTAAGCAAGGTCTCCCTAGTTGCTCCTTTTTTTAACAATACATTTGAGGCTCACCGCACTGGCAGAGGGCAGAAAGTTCAGACAGCCACTACCAGCCATGGGATGAGCTGGAAACGCTGTGAACAGTGGCAGAAAACCAGATCCAAACACCTGGACCGATGACACATGCCGAGCACCTCAAGGTTCACTGCAGGGCATTTAGTACTGAAATGCACAGGAAAAAGGTGCTCCTGAGGTATTTATTATCTGTTTTCCAACTAGCGGTTTAGCATAAACTAAACCAGATGGGCCCAGCAAGAAGCAGTGAAAATAACCTAAGGCAGCCACAGAAGTGAAAGAAAGATAACAAACCGATGTTTAAAAAGCCATGGTAAGTTAAATAAGTAACTAGATAGTTAAAATTGGAGTTAAGTGGGTTTTTTTCCCTATACTACGTATATTGTGTTTACAAAAAAAAAGTGATATTAACACCTTAAATCCAATTAGACACCACTAATCATCTGATAGTAGCCATTGGATTTGCATTTAGATTTTTCAATCTGAAACCACAACTCCCATTTAGTTATAAAGATATCATAAGAAATATGGACCAGAGGTAAAGATGATCTGATGATCTCTTTTCCTCCAATCTAAACTTTGGGAAGTCAAGAAAAGCACAGTATTTCAGAATCATTGTCAGGTCTACGTATGCCTACAATGCTTTACTGGCGATATTTTGGAAACTCCTAATATTCTCATGGGTGCATATCTGATAGCAGGAGACAGTAGGCAAAAAGTTATGAAAGAAGGCAACAGGCATAGAACTCATGAAGCAAATTCTGCTAGTAACAGGCATTTCATCACATCCTCTAAACTCACTTGATCACTTTTTCTTTGTTTCCTTTTGAGATTTTCTTGCAAGAGCATGTTTCTAAGGAAACCTAGCCAACACTTAACTCAGGGTATTGTATGGTTTTCAAAATCAAAAGCAACAAAACCAAATATCATCCATCCACTATGCCACGGATTTGTATTGATCTTTTAATCCCTACTAATTCAAATTTAATAAAGGTTTGTTGTGTGGTTATTACCTATAAAACCGTACCTAAGGTATTTGGAAAGATATAAAGATGTGTAAGAGATGATCTGTCCTCCAGGAGCTAGCAATCTAACCTGGAAAACAGAAGCCAACCAGCAAACCAAGGAATGTCCACAGGCAATCTGTGACTTCTTCAGATACTGGAAGAAGTTGTGAATGAATATATAATCACACATTCAAGTTTTCTACCATCCCTATTCATCATCCTAACTTCTGGTGGGCTTTGAGCCCTCCACGCCTTTCAAGGAGAGTAGCAGGTACACAGCCAGTGACCAGATTTGGGCCTTAGATTCCCACCCTTAACTTCAGCACAGACAGGGGGTCCTTTCAGGACCATGTGCAGTCTGGCTATGAAAGCAACCACAAGAACAGGAAGGGCTGTTGTCCATTGTCATTGTCCATGGATCTGTTCTTTATTGCCTGAGAGTTTCTGAACTGAGGCATGAGTTTGGAAAACCCAGTGCCTAGTGCTAGTACGAAGGGTTCAGGAAGGACACTAATAGGCTTTCTTGTTTTGGGGGAAAGGCTTATGTCTTTTTCCCCCATGTCCTGAGCTAGATCAGGTATGAAATATGGGTTGTTAGTGAATAAGTGAGCTGATTAAACATTTTACAGAGATATCATAAATATGTTTTCTGGAATCTGTCAGCTCACTCTCTATTAAATCACCAGATCATTTTACATTAACAGGTAAATAAATTTTTGATTTTAAGTACTCAAAGCTTTAATGGGGGGGTGAGGAGGAGTGGGACAAAAAGAAAAGAGAATTAAATTTAAATAATTAACAATAATGACTACTTTAGTATGTCAATCCTTGTTTTAAACATACACAAGATGTGTAATTACTAAAATATTTTAAACTAAATCAATCTTTTATTTTGTTGCAGTACATTTCCCAGGAATTAAAACTTACATAGATCCAGATACATATGAAGACCCATCCCTAGCAGTTCATGAATTTGCAAAGGAGATTGATCCCTCAAGAATTCGCATTGAGAGAGTCATTGGGGCAGGTAAACACAAAATCTGTACTTTTTTTTTTTTTAAGATTTTTATTTATTTATTTGACAGAGAGAGACACAGCGAGAGAGGGAACACAAGCAGGGGGAGTGGGAGAGGGAGAAGCAGGCTTCCCGCAGAGCAGGGAGCCCGACGCGGGCTCGATCCCAGGACCCTGGGATCATGACCTGAGCCGAAGGCAGATGCTTAACGACTGAGCCACCCAGGTGCCCCCAAAATCTGTACTTTTGAAGATAAGATTCCTTGATGGTTTTGTGACTGGTTTATCAACACTATATTTTAAATCTTAGTAGTTGTAGTCATTGAATATTTTTAAGAAATGAGAAGCAAAATTTTCTTATATATGTTATTTTTTTTAATTATTGTAAGCACGTAAATTCATTTTCTAAGCAATGAGAGAATTCGCAAATGTTATTTTTAACTCCTGTACTCTTCTTTCAGTATAGAGAAAGCTTACAATGAAACGAGAGTGATGCAGGAATTTATTTTGAAGATGCAACTTCAGGAGTTTTTCATAAGTTATTATAGATTTACTCAGACCCCAACATTTATAGACATATACTATAATTAGTATTCATATTGATGACCTTGAGGCTCTGCAAGATCCAGAAGTGTTCTGAAAATCACTGAGGATAAAATTAGCTTCAGTATAATGTTTTATGTCATTTCAATGCTAATTAGTGATTTTCCCTATGTAGAATGTTCAAAAGGAACACTATTTTATTCAACTGTTCTGGATAAATACAAATTTATTGTGAATTAGCCCCCAACGGTTTACTCTGTACGTTACTTAGGGCAGAGGCTAAGCTGATGTAACAAAGAGACCCCAGAATATTTATTCCTCTTTCAAATCCTTGACCTAAAGTATATAGTCCATGTTAGCAAAGGAGCTGTTATTCAGGAGGTCTTGAAAGGACCCAAGTTCCTTTTACTCTTTGCTCTGCCTTCCCTTAGTGTGTCATCCTCCTCTGAATGGTCAAAGCCTTCCAGCCTGTGAGAAGGAAAGAGTTCAGTCTTTTTTGGGGGGGGGGGGGGGGCTTTGCCTTGAAGGCAATAACATGGAAATTACAAACATGTCTATTCACATCTCAATGGTCCAAATGCAATTACCTGGGCACCCAGAGAGAGAGTTTGATATATAATCTCTGACTGGGCAGCCATGCATGCAGCTAAGAAGGGGAGGGAAAAAGTGTAAGTTGAGAAGGGAGACTGGATCCTGAACAGGGGAATTGGTCTCCCCTAGATACTGGATATCTGTGTAATCCTTTGGAGAGAACAGAACATACAAAAGCATGGCCATTCCAGCCAGGTTCATGTCTTTGCAAAGGCAAAAGAAAGCAGCTGATTATCCTTTGTCTATTTCCAAAGCCCTTCTTCACCAGAGGACCAGCTGCAAAGTCTGCAGGGTACAATGCAAACTGAAAATGTACCCATCACCCGGTGATGGGTATTAAGGAGGGCACGTGTTGGGATGAGCAGTGGGTGTTATACGCAACCAATGAATCATTGAACACTATATCAAAAACTTATGAGGTACTATATGCTGGCTAACTGAACATAAAAACAAAATGAAAATGTAGTCTCTTGTTAAAAGTTATTCAGAATTTCTGAAGCTTAGAGCTTTAAGCAAATGACAGGGTCCTTCTAAACTCAAGACTCTGAATGACTACTCCCATTAAGTGGACTCTATTCCCCAGATACACAGAAATCTAGCGCTATACAAGAATTCCAGAGACCATTTGGAGAGCGCCCTTCCTTATATCACTTTATTCCCCATGCACAGTGGATCATCTCATCTCCTGCAAGGCCAGATCTCCCTTTGAAAGCCGACACAAGGGGCCTGTAGACTTAATCCTAATGCTCACAGCTGAAAAGGCTGTCTTATCAGAAAGATTAAGAACCTGGAATGAAATCAGATTCTCTATTCTCTTCTGTTGAACATAAAGCACATCAATGGGCATTAAAGGTATAATTGAAAGAGTGATTGCATTATATTCATTTAGTTTGGGGATTCATTTACTTAAGACAGCAGAGGAACAGAGGAGAGAGGAGGCCAAATAATTCCATTGCACCCTACGTTTGGCTTTCATCCTCTGGTCCCCAAGAAAAAGTGTTATGTCCTTTTATACTTCAGTGTTCAGTCCTCACATAGATACAGTAGAAGCATTTTCCATTAGAGCCCTTTGTGCATAAATTAAATGCCAGTGTCTGAAATCATAATGTTGAGAAATAAAATCAAATATCTAAGTGTTAACAAATAAATTATTTTTGCTTTTAGTTTGTAGGTTTTCTTCAACCAACATGTAAATTTTACCCTAAAAAAGTATAACATATTGCCAAAGCAAACAGTAACTGTTAAAGAGACTCTTTTAATATCATATTCCCCCTACCTTATCTAACCTTGAATAAGTTATATTGGGACTCCTCTCATTTGGCAAAGACAGAATATCTAAACCTTGTAGTCAATCCTATATATCAGTGTCTCTTTTTTATATTTATTCATCTTTGGTTATTTCAATTTTCAAACAATATGCTCTTTTTATTGTCCATAGTCAGAAAAATCATAAAATTGCTTTATGAGACAAAGTTGTAACATAACTTTCCTCTTTGCACTCCTGGCCAGTACTACTTTGTTAATTAACCCCATTATGTCATGTTCCTAAAACTCTATTTGTAGGTGGAAAAAATTAGTGAATGTGTGGACATTTCTCATAGCAACAGTGTGAAAAAAGCACTGTTTGGTCAAACTAAAGAAGAATTAATAGAATTATGTTAACGTCTATGATGTAATTACACAACTGGTTACTTGCCTAACATTTTACTGTAAATATTTTCCTTAGGTTGTCATATATCCTTTAGTTTTTTTCCCACCTATTTAATTTTTTCTTCTCCAACTCCTACTTTCTCATCATTTGTGTGCATTAGGTATTCCCCTTGGAAATGTAAATTAAATGACTTAAGTGGCAGTGTAGACACTGGACAGAGGTGTGCTGGAGAGAGGGAGATGGGAGAGAGGCAAGATATCAGGTCTTAGTAATTGTCAGGGGAAAGATATTTAGGTCTGATTAAAGCACTGAAAGTAGAGATAGCCATAGAGAAGATATCTATGTGGAATCCACATAGAGGATATCTATGTGTAATAGGAATTCACAATTCATTACTGAGAAAAATCAGTAAGACCTACGTAGCTTTTGGTGAAAAAATAGTTAAAAATGCTGTTCTGGGCTCTGTCCAGAGTAGTGAAATATGCCAACTTCATGCAGAGAGGAGCCTACAGAGTCAGGTTGTGGGTAGGAAGCAGGTATAGTTAGTAGGCCTCTGACTTCTGGGGTTCCTTTAGTGGGATTAGACTATAGATGAAGGAGAGAAAAAAAAGCTGAGGATTGATAAAGCCTGTGTTCCCTACAGGCTCATGCTTTTGATTCAGATCAGGTCTAGATAAGGGTGACTGGTCCAATTTGAATAGTTCCCAAAGTTGACTTGAATTTAGAAATTAAGTTGAAACAGAGCTTTGGAGTCAAACAAAATAGTTGAGTAGTGATTCTGTGATTTAACAGTTGCATGATTTGGGCCAAATTCTGGGCTTCAGTTTCTTCATCTGTAAAATGGGCATATACTACCTACCTTCTGGAGTTGTTGTCAGGCTTAATTGACATATATATGTATAAACATCTGACATTCAGCACAAGGGATGCAGCAAATCATCTTGACCTGCCTCCTCTAGTGTATTTTATCATTGAAGCCTTAATATAAATAGATATCTCACTTGTGAAATTGAATTTTAACCCTTGGTAATGATAATGCTTTCCCTGGCTACTTCCCTTTGGAGATTCTTTAATTCTGATGATGATGATGATGATTAAAACTTGTTTTTTATTCAGCACCTACTCAAGGCCTGGCCCTGTGTTAAGTGCTTTTCATATATTTTCTTATAAAATTGTCATAATAATCCCATGAGGTAGATAGTATTATTCTCATTTCTAGATGAAGAATGAGATGAAGAAAGAGTAAGTGACTTGCTCAACATTATAAGACTAGGTAGTAGAGGACCTGGGGTTTAAACCCAGCTGTGACTGACTCCCAAAATTATTTCTGAGGCCAAAGAAATAATGCTTCAAATAAATAAAGAGGCAGAGCATTAAGCCTTTTTATGGTGGGGGTGGGGAGGCACTTTTATGTACAAGGCTGTTATTTGCTGCTGGCCAATGGGTCCTACTAGAATTCTTTTCCTTGTGTTTTGCTCTAAAGAACAAATGTTATTCTAATGCCAGTATTGTTAAATGCCATTTATTGCTTGTATTTACATTTCTAAAATTTGCCTTCTCCTTCTTAAATAAAGGTATGTCTTTCTAGAATATTAAAAGCCCTAATTTAACTAATGATAAGAGTATTCAGAATAAGTAAAGCATCTTTGAGCAATTGACTTATCATTGTAATTCAAATGAACTGTCTCAGAGAAAAATTAGCAAATCTCATATTGATGCAATAAATAGCATCTTTTCTGGGTTTTTTGGGGTTTTTTTTGTTTTTTTAAAGAATGCCTTCCAGGCTTCTAATTGGGAGACACAGTATATAATCATTAAATATTCCTTAAATTAGTTGTTAAAAAATGAACCCCAAAATAGCTACATTAAAGTTTTAAGACAGAAAAAAGCATAGGAAATGATATCACATTTAATCTGTAACATTTCTTAACATGTTCACTGAGTAATGTTTGTTAGATGGCTAATATCTCCTTATAAAAGGCATGGTGCTAATTGGTTTTTTTTATATTGTCACTATGCTTATCAAAAACATATGTAATCAACCTGTCTTCCACAACCTTTGTCCTGGGATTTTCAACTTTATAACCACCTGAATATTATGTGACAAATACTTAGAAAATTTATTCAATATCTAGGCTGAATACACACACACACACATACATACACACACATATACACACACACACATATATATACATAAAATCCCTTATCTTTCACTATAAATTTTA